AGTAAAGGGAAAATAAGACATAGCTGATTAAAGGCTGATGGTGAGCATAATCCAACACTGTAGACCCATTTTTTTCTCTTTTATATCACAAAGCCTTTTATTACTTAAAATTGGTGATAACTTTTTTGAGTAAAACGTTACTAAATGAGGATCTTAACTTTTTTGACACTGTGAAAAAAGAACAAGTTAACTTACTAAATGTGCCATAATCTCTGAAGAAGTTTGTAATTCCTTCTCCTATCTCTGTAACAAAGTTTGCATAACAGGAAAAGTCTCAGTAGAGTTAAAGCATCAATTATTTTCCCATTCTGCAAGTTACACAGGAGGAGGGGAATTATTAACAGGAATGATAAAGCTGTAGTTGCATTTGGTAACACAAAGAGAAGCTTACAAATGAGACGTCTCATTAGCTTGAGCAGATGGATCAAAATTAAAGGCTGAATCGCCAACTTTTAATTTCCCAGTAGCCAAGAAGAGCTTGAAGTCTTGCAGAGTAGGACTGTTGAAAAGTCAACATGAAAAGATTTTCTCCATCTGTCATCACACATGCCTGAGTGGAACACAACTGCATCCTACTGTTTTTAATACTTTTAAGGCAAAGCTGCACATAAAATCTATTAAGTACATGAGCACACAAGTTTAGATGATTGGTATACTGAAGCCCACAGACCACTATGATCAGAGCAGATCAGCATGGTTTTTGAACATGAAATTTGTTCTGTTATAATTTAATCCAAATGAGGAGAAAAAATGAATTCATTTATATTGAATTCATTATATTATACTTATATTGAGAAGAAACTATTAATTTTTAGAGTGAAAATCGCTTAGTTGCCTGAGACTCACAGTTCCTATTTTTTTTTAATAGACACATATTTTCAGTCTTCTTAGTAATGGTCTGGAAAGTAGCTGCTCTGATAAAATCAAAGTACCTGAGCAAACCAACCACATATCTAAGACAAATAAACAACCTGAAGGCAGAAAAGCAAAAATAAACCCAAGTAACCACTGGAAATATTTTTAAATTAATTACCTAATTTGTTTAGTTACTGTTGGGGGGGGGGGCACACGCACACACATATACACATACAGAGAGAAAGAGAAAGAAAGAGAGAGAATTTCTCCCACTCATTGGTTCATCCCCTAAATGCCCAAATACCTGAGGTTGGGCCAGGCCTAAGCCAAGAACCGGGAACTCAATCTGGCTTTTCCAAGGGAAGGTACCCTGCTACTTGACCCTACTGCCTTTCAGAGAAGGTATTAGCGGGAAGATAGAATTAAGATCAGAAGTGACACTCAAATCTAGTCACTGTGATATGGGATGCAGAAGTTAGAAGCATGTCTTAATCATTACGTCAAACATTCATCAGGGAAAGTTGGGAAAGTTTGTTTTTGTTTTTGTTTTTTTTTTTAAACTGGGGGACAGGGGTTTGCATGAGAGAGTATCAGGAAAACTTCATTAGTTTCTTGTACCAGAATCAATCATTCTACTCATTTCTTACTATTGCAACTGCTATCATACATTTTGGCAACATAATAGGGCTAAAGTTCAAGTATGCAGCCCTATAAGAAATAATTTGATGCTTCCTTAATAATAAAGAAAACCATGCTTATCCAATATGTAGTTGCTGCTTCATAATAATGCACTGATGTGAAGTTAGTTATGACCCTAACTAAATTCCAGAAGCAAATCTCTCCTTCCTCACACACAGTTTACTTTACTTAGATATACAATAAGGTATTTAAACAGAAAAGGATCTCTTAGAATGAAGTGCATAGACTTTTCAGTCATCAGAACTGGGCAAAAACATAATTAATCTGGCTTTGTTTTAGAAAAGATTTAAAGGGTGTTAATTATATATTTTCCATTTTCTGATGGATGCATACAAATTCATTTGTTTAAAATGATCATTTGGGGCCATATACAGTCAGTCATTTGGGATAATGCTATCTTCAATTTTAATTATGATGAAAAAATTCCATTCAGAATGCTTATTATTCAACTGGAAAATACATTGCTAAACTTATAATAGAAGCATAGGGCACTAACACCACCACTCAGTGAGGGTTATCTCTCCAATGAGATTTTTAAAAATGCAAAATAATCCTGTGTGGAGTTCAAAATCCTGAAAACAAACCTCCACGTGGTTGTCAATAATGAAGGACTATCGTAAAAGTAAGAATCCTTGTGTGATGGAATAAATTACGGATTTCCAACCTTGTTGAAACAGGAATCTACCTTAGCTTCCAAAATGAAACTATTAAACATTTCTGCTTTCCAAGTATCAGTGCTGGGTATATCCCAAAGGTAATCAGTAGAAGCTGCCACTTATCAAGTTCAATGAACTTACAGGTTAAATAGTACTTGGCAGATCAACGAGGAAATAAAAGACTTAAACAGATAAAGCAATCCTGTTGAAAAGATTGATAAATTAAGTTTTGGGCATCTATTTCTACTACACACAATACATGTAATAAAGAAATGAAAAGCATACAACTTTGTTGTTCAATTAATTCGCAAAATAATTCTTGAGATGACTGCAATAATGAAAATAATTTGTTATGTGTTCAGTACTTACAATCTGAAGGTGCTCACATTTGTAATTTCAGCAAAACTACAGATAAACTTCAAGTAGTGGATTATAGTTTTGCTGTATTTCATATTTCCCATCATCTCAATAAGTATATTCAATCTTTGAAGATGAGGCAATTTGTCATAATCAACTTGTGCAGGAAACATCATGATGATGTTGAAATGCAGACACACCCATTTGTCCATACACTATCCATGGCTACTTTCATGCTATAACAGCCAAGCTGAGTAGCAACAGAAAACATATAAGGTACAAAAAGCCTTAAATATTTACTCCCTGCTGCTTTACAGAAAAATTTTGCTGGCTTCGGACCTAGAACAAATAGTTGCTGTTCAGTAACTTTTTTTTTTCATTTAAAAATAGAATGTTCATGTTTTACAATTATTTATTTATAAAGTGATAAATAACATAACCCCAAAACAGTTTTGGAATGAGGATCAGAGAACTCTGATGTAAAATAAATGCAGATAAAAGTGATATGACACTGGTTAGCACTCTATATTCACAGGCCTGGATTTGAAAGTGCTTGGGAAGACTGGCTTGAATGTGTTCCTTCACTTGGTACAGACTCTGTCTTCGTTTTTCAAGAGAGGATGATACTGCCTACCTCATAGGTTGCTGAGATAATTCAATAAAATAACAAATGGAAGATGATTTGATCAGTTTCAGGCATTTATTAAGAGCTAGGAAAAGTTAAGCATTATTATTATTGTCATTATTATGTAGATTATATAATCAGGATTTACTTTATTTAAAAGTTATTCTTGAAACCAAAAGCTACTGAGATTAGTGAGAAATCTGATTTTAAAACTGTTTCCCGAAGACAGACATAGTGCCTCGCAGGGTTCCATGCTCCACAGTACAATTCATCTTTGATTTGTTTTACATATTGGAGCTGTAAACGAGATTTTGTCTGGGGGAAAAAGAAGATGCCACAGACCTTAAAAGGAATTTAAAAACCAAAGAGGCAGAGAAAAATTTCATGTACCATAAAAAGCTAACACATTAAAAAAATTAATCTCACAAAATAAAGTTGTCACCCAAACCATAAGCAATCAGATAATAATTAACTTTTACATAAGCAATTATTGTCATTCCAGTTTCTCTTTAACAATTTTGATTAGAGAATTCTGGACAAGAGAAATGTTGAAACTTCTTAATTTCTAAACCTGTACCAAACAATACAAAACTGTATTATATATATTTCAATTAATACTACTTCATGAAAACAGTTAAGGGGCCAGTGTTGTGGCATAGTTGGTAAAGCTGCTGCCTGCAGTGCCATCATCACATGTGGGTGCTGTTTCAATTCCTGGCTGCTCCACTTTCGATCCAGCTCCCTGCTAATGTGCCTGGGAAAGCAGCGGAAGATGGTCCAAGTCCTTGGGCCTCTGTACACCCACATTGGAGACCCGGAAGAAGATCCTGGCTCCTTGCTTTGGATTGGCCCAGCCCCAGCCACTGTGGCCATTTGGGGAGTGAACCAGAGGATGGAACATTCCCCCCATTCCCCTCTCTGCCTCTCTGTAACTTTGCTTTAAAAATAAATAAATAAATCTTTGGAAAAAAGTTATTAAAATTAAAAAAGAACAGTTAAGAATAATATATATGGGAGGAGTGGTGGTGCATTGAGGTACAGCAGGTTAAGCCACTACTTGGGATACCTGACTCCCACATGGGAGTGCTGGTTTGAATCCCAGCTAGATGCTTTAGATCCAGCTTCCTGCTAATGTGCTTAGGAGGCAGTGGATGAAGGTCTAAGTACCCGCGTCCCTGCCACCCGTGAGGGATACTGGGAAATAAAATTCCCGGTTCCTGCCTTCAGCCTGGCATAACCCGGGCTGTTGCAGGCATTTGAACAATGAAGCAGTGGATGAAAGATCTCTTTCTCTCTTTTTTTTGCTCTCATTCTCACTCTCATTCTGTATGTCTCTCTTGTCTCTCCTCTGTCACTTTGTCTTTCAAATGAAACTAAATCTTTCTGAATTAAAGGTAAAAAATATATTTTAAATTTTGCATTATATGAGAAATACCAATTACAATTTTTGAAGTGTGAGATAAACTTGGTGTTCCCTTATAAGAGTAACAGAAACTGTTACTCTTATATATTATATACATACTATACAATATATACATAATATATTATATATATTCATTTTTTCTTACATATCTGATTAAAATGGCAAAAAAACAACCAGCATGACCTATAAATACTGAGTTGACAATGTTATCTATGAATAATTTTATGACTTACATGGTTACCCATTGGGTAAAAACAGCTATTAAGAAAGAAAACCTCTGAGTCACTGCCTCAGAATTCAAGAAAAGATTTTTTAAGAGACTAAAAATTAATAATTTTTATCATTAAACATTCTCTAAAAACAGGATAAAATAAATTAAATGTACCTGGTGTCCATCCTTTACTTGCTTTAAAACACTTTCATAACACACTTCATCCATGTTATTCAATTGCTGCATCTTTAAATTTGAAAGACATGAAAAATACAAAGCGGAACAATTATAAGCTTTCTAACAACAAATAAAATTTTGCTAATACTGATGCATCTTTTTTATTTTCAGATGAATCAGAATACAGAAAAAACAAACACCCAATATGTAACAATTTAAATGAAATAAACACAATACAATTAAAAATACACATAAAATACTTCAGATAATAGTTTTGAGTACTAATTCTGCCAATGTATCAAAAGACAGCATCTTTCAGGATAATACACCAAAGAAAAAATTAGAATAATAAAATTTTCTCTTTGCTTTTTCCAGAGAAGCATGTTTTTCATGCTGTTTTCTTGCATTTCATACTATAAACTACACAGCTTTTCTATTTAATTCTCCAAGTTGCAAGAACACTAGAGATTGACTATCAAATGGCATATAAGATCTGAGTAGAGATGTAACTAGGAGAACAGTATTCTTTCATAAAAACTGAATCATATCATGAGCTTCTAAATGAAACTTTAAGAAACCTACAAGAATTTATTTTTTCTAGGAACAAACAAATTGACAACAAATTATAAGACATATTAATGACTCTTTTAGGGAATACTTAATGATTACCAACTACAGATTTTAACCAAGTATAAAACTACTAGATTTTAATCAGAAAAAAAATCTGTATTTACTACAATCATACACTTGTATAATTTACAATTTGTATGAGTTGTAATTTTAAAAAAATTGCCAAATTTCTAAATCCTCAAAATAAATGACAGCTCATCATCTAACACTATCCTATTCATGATTATAATGCTAACATATTGTGGTAAAAACTCTTTGAATTTAATTAGCTTAAAAGAATTACCAACTTATATGGTACAATTGCAAGAAAATTAAGTTTAAGATGGCTGACAAGCATCTGCAACAATTTCCTTCTCTTTATCTCTCTGTGAGAACCATCTGCTATCAATTAAATTATAAAGCTAAAAATTCTAAAGCTATAAACAGTTCCACATCTAGCCTAATGATACATTAAAAAACTAAATAATCAAATGTATATTAAGGCATGACCAAAAAAATTTAGCAAGTAATAGACAAGCACTTGAAACTGTTAATGAAGTTTAAAATATGCATATCACAAGTATTGCCATGTTGTAAACTATTCTCTTTTGTACAAATCTGAAATGGCTCCCAACAATTTAAGAAATCTTACTTTTATGCAATGCATAAAATACCATACATAGTACCTTTGTAATAAGAGTCACTTCTCACATTTTTAGCTCAATTTTTACTTATAATGGCATAAGGTAAAAATGACCCTTTTTAAATAATGAAATACTTCTTAGACAAGAAGTAATATAATACAATAAAAACAAAGGCTGACCTAACAATACATGACTCCATTATGCTTTTAGTAAAGAGATCAGGAAGTATGAAAGTATTCCTTAATACTAAATATAATATAATGTAATATAATACCAAATATTAAAAATAGCTGTTGTTGAACAGAATGATAGTTTTCTTTATTATAGAATAAATCAATAATAAACACCCAACAGTGCAAATGTACATGGTAGTAAATGTTTGAAGAATTAGTTAAACAAGTCCTTTTATGGACTATAAAATACTAGAATGTCATTCACGGGGCTGATGATGTGGTATAGTGGGTTAAGCCTCCGCCTGTGGTGCCAGAATCTCATATGGGCACCAGTTCAAGTCCCAGCTGTTCCTTTTCTGATCCAGCTCTTTGCTATAGCCTGGGAAAGCAGAAGATGGCCCAAGTCCTTGGGCTCTTGCACCCAGGTGGGAGACCCAGAAGAAGCTCCTGGCTCCTGGCTTCAGATCGGCTCAGCTCCAGCCTTTGTGGCCATCTAGGGAGTAAACTGCAGATGGAAGACCTTTCTCTCTTTCTCTCCCTCTGTAACTCTACCTCTCAAATAAATAAAATCTTTAAAAAAAGTCATTCATATGCATAATATGGCAATTATAAGTTAAACAGCATAACTCTCTTGATGGTTGCTACCATTAAATTAATTTTCATTTGCATATGTAGTATTATATATTTTAAATGAATATTAAATCAAAATAATATTACAGTAGTAAGAGTTTATATTATTTTACAATGTCCCTCTACCATACCAAAATAACTCTGGAAACTTTTCACTTTTAAGAGATGTGACTACACAGCATACATTGAAAATAGCAATACCAACTACTACCAACAAGTTTCTGCAAGAGGACTTGCTCTTTCACAAATGGTTGAGGGACAGACGCTTGATTATGTCATACCAGTAAAAGTTACTCTATTAGAACCTCTAATTCCAAGCAAGTATTCACAAACATGCCAGTAAAGATATTTTTAGAAAACAAATGTTTCATTATTAAAGCGAATATTTACCTTATTTGCACTTTTAATCCCCAAAAATGTCTGCCCAAGAGGTACTGGTCGAAAACGGCCATCAAAGTAGAAAAGTCCAATGTAAGGATTAACGTGTAAAAACGTGGCAACATCGAGGTAGTTGGGTAAGGTTGCAGACAGTCCAAGAATCCTTATCATACTCTGTGTGGATTCAACCTAAATGGAATATTTTGATTAGACTTATTTTAAATAGACATAGGTTATTTAAATAAATTTAACTAAAAAATACCATCACATGTTCTATTAATGGGATCTCTGAAAACTGTACATGGAGGGGTGAGTACTGTTGTGCAGACAGTAAAGCCTCCTGTGCAGTGCAGGCATCCAACGCAGCTCCCTGTCAATGTGCCTGGGAAAGCAGCAGGGGATGGCTCAAGTGCTGGGGACCCTGCACTCATGTGGGTGACCGGGATGACGGTCTTGGCTCCTGGCTTCAGTCTGTCCCAGCTCCGGCCTTTGTGGCTATTTGGGGAGTGAACCAGTGGATGGAAGATGTCTCTCTCTCTCTTTCTGCAACTCTGCCTTCCAAACCTATAAAACAAATTCTAAAGAAAACAAACTGCACATGGAAATGAGTTTAGAGGTCAACTGAGGGTCCCATCATATCAGACACTGTAGTCCTTAATTCACAAGCTTAGTTTAATAAATACTGAAAGAACTCTGCACTCACCAAAATTAAAAATAAATGTGGAAATTTACATTAAATAAGTATAAGAATTTATAACAATTAAATGTTTTATTAAAGGAGGCCAGCACAGTGGCACAGCAGGTTAAGCTGCATTCTGCCAGCGCGGGCTTCCCAGGCGCTGGTTTGAGTTCCAGCTGCTCCACTTCCAATCCAGCTCCTGGCTAATGTGCCTGGGAAAGCGGCGGAAGATGGCCCAAGTGCTTCCCACGTGGGAGACCCAGAAGTTCCTGCCTCCTGGCTTTGGCCTGGCTCAGCCCGGCAATTCCGGTCGATTTTGGAATGAACCAGTGGATGGAAGATTTCTCTGTCTCTTCCTCTCTATCTGTAGTTCTGATTTTCAATTAAAATAAATAAGCGAATAAATCTTTAAAAAAAAACTGGTTTATTTGGCCACAAAAACTCCATAAATTCCAAAGGATAAAAATCATATCAGCCAGATTATCTGATTACAATGTAATACACCTAGAAAGATGGCCAAAAGCTTCTATTCACTTAATGATTAAAACACAGAAAGACAAATACTACATGTTGTCTCTCATATGCGGAAGTTAAACAAAAAGTTACTTTGAAATTAAAACACTGATTACTAAGGCTGGGACAGCAGGTGAGGGAATTGAATAACAGGTACCAAAACACAATCAAATATAGGATACAAGTCCTAGTGTTCTACAGCACAATGGAACACCTGGAGCTTACAATAATATAGTATATACTAAATAAAGCACTTGAAGAGAGGGGCTGATGGGCTCCAAACACAAAGAAAAGATAAAGAAACAGAAAGGCTAGATGGTGGCTTGATTGGTTTATGCTGTGTATATGCGTTGGGATATTGCACTGTGCCCCATAAAAATGTACAGCTATTGAGTGTTAATCAAAAGCTTTAAAAACAGAATTAAAAGGAAAAATTATGTAATATAATTTTATCAGAAAAATTATTAAAAAATACATCATTATGATCACACAATGCTATTGTCAATCCACAGTAAGTTTTCTAGGGAAGGTATTGGTAAGTTTGCTCAGTCTTAGGAGAATAAATAGGTATAAACAAATTAGTCAGATTTGATTAAAATTAGAATCATCCATCCACTGACGCTGGGTAGGGACCTAAACCACAGGCACTGGGGAAGCAGTGCTGAATAAGATTGATTTGTACATGTAAAGACTATTTGCAGGAACATAAAGAGGGAGGATTCAAAAATGACACAGATGGCTACAAATTAAAGTACAAATACATATACAACATTTTATGATGTTTTGTTTTTTCTAGAGAAATCTTACGAATATTAGTAAAAACACAAACCAACTCCACCAAAGGCAAAGAACTCCACATAACCAGAAACAACCACTATTTGTATTTTTTTAAAATAAATTCTTCACAACATACAGTCATTAGAATAGTGACTTTAATAACACGATAGTTTTGTGTAGCACTAGTGATGATTTCAGAGAGAAGGAAAATGACATTTGGTTTTAGAATCACTATTTAAAACACAAAAGTTATTGAACTTTTTTTTTTTTGGACAGGCAGAGTTAGACAGTGAGAGAGAGAAAGAGAGAAAGGTCTTCCTTCCGTTGGTTCACTCCCCAAATGGCCGCTACATCCGGCGTGCTGCGCCGATCCGAAGCCAGGAGTCAGGTGCTTCCTTCTGGTCTCCCACGGGGTGCAGGGCCCATGCACTTGGGCCACAGCAGAGAGCTGGACTGGAAGAGGAGCAACCAGGACAGAATCCAGCGCCCCAACCGGAACTAGAACCCGGGGTGCCGGCACCGCAGGCAGAGAAGCCATGGTGCCGGCTACTGAATTTATTTTAAGATATTTAATACTAAAATCATGATACCCTAACACCAAATATTTTTTTTTCTGCTAAAAAGCTATTTAACAAAATTAGTTAAGAAGACAACTAGTTCTCAATAGGGATTGGGATCTCTTATACTTTTATCTTTTCTGAGATCTTCCCAACCACGCCAAGTGTGTTAATACCATCGTGCAATTTCAGATTCTACAATGTACTGGAATAGCTTCCTATGGCATGTCTACCTTAGGGACAAATACTGATGTGTTATGTGAAACACCGCCATCTACTGGGAAGATCTGGTAATCACAAGGAACAAAGGAATCTTCATCCTAAAAATTGCTACGAAAACTGCACTAGGAGTTTGGAAATATGAGAAGAATCAAATAGATCATTTTGTCAATAAGATTAAAAACTAGTAATGGATATAGAGAAAAAGATTGAACGATATCAAGTTGTGAAATTAAGGAAGACAACAATAAATGCTAACAATGTACAAAGGGTGTAGAGTGGGAATAAGGTAATTCCTTCTGACTGAGGAATAAGGAAACACTTCTCTGTGGAGGTAGTAGTATTTGACAGAATTTAAAATGACAGATTTTCAGTAAATGGATATGGAGAATGATAAAGAAAGAAAACATATGCCTTAGCATTTATAACCTGTACTCTTGCTATCAAGAACACATTCTACCTCAAGTAAGACTACTTTAATCTCTGAAAGAGATGGCACTGGAAGGTTATTAAAGAAAGATCAACTAGGTTTGTAGGACTCAAACCTACAGTAGCTAATAGAAGTTAAGATTAGCAGGTAGACCATAATTTCTAATACCCCGCTAAAAAATCTGAATAGTTCTCTTAAACAAATGACAAGTCAGCAAAGGTGAGCAGAAGTGAGAAAAAAATTTGCTTTTTGCTTTTATTTTTTTTTTAATAAAAATAGGACCACTGAACTAGTAGTTTGTAAACATGACAAGAATCAAACAGACTCTTCAGTCAGTGAGATGAAAGTCTACTTAGGGATACAGATGAACAGAATTAACCATAGCAAGCTCTGAAATTTTAGGGAAGACTATGATAACTACTAAAAATGTATAAAGAAAGGGAAAGCAGAAAATATACAATTCAAGTAAAGAGGTATTGGTACATTCACAGTATGTATTTCAATATACATATTAATATCACATACGTTAAAATGTTATAATGTATTAATATGGAATTAGCATGCTTAAATTATATATTTCATCTAGCTCCCTGCTAATGTGCCTGGGAAAGCAGCAGAAGATAGCCCAAGTCCTTGGGCCCCTGCACCCACGTGAGAGAACTGAATGGAGTTCCAGACTCTTGGCTTTGGCCTGGCTAAGCCCAGCCATTGTAGCCATTTGGGAAGTGAACCAGCAGATCAAAGATCTCTCTCTCTCTCCCCCTCTCCCTTAATGTCACTCTGTATAACTTTACCTTTCCAATCAATAATAAATCATTTTTTTAAAGTAAAAGAGAGAAAATTGTTGCTCACTTTTCTCTTCACATAAAAGAGATTGTGTTAAAGAATATCTTACATTTCCAATGAAGAATATAACATGGGTATCTTTTAAACCTAGTTAATATAGCTCTACTTCATTCTTTTTAAAGGATGAAAAGTAGCATTTCTCTGCTTGAATATATTATAATTTACTAGTCCATTTCCTCAACTGTTGAATATCTGAGTTGTTTCCAAAATATTATATATTAAAAAGAGGACTTCAATAAATATTTGCATTAATAAATTATTATGGATCTGCACTATTATCTCCAATGGTTGTCGTCTTAGAAGTAAAAATACAGGGTAGCTTTTTGTGGATGCTATCAAATGACATTTTATGTTCATTTTTGCCAGTTTCATAGAAATGTTTCATGTTGCTGTGGATTCCCTTTAATGCCTTTTCCAGATTTCTCAGTATTTTCATTTCTTCTATAAAATGACTCTTTCAATTTGCTAAGCTTATTTTCTCACTAATTCATAAAAACTTTTCTGTCTGCTTGTTCACTGTTCAAATGGCTGCAACTGCCAGGTCTGCGCCAGGCCTAAGCCAGGAGCCAGGAACTCCAGCCTGGTCTCCTACATGGGAGACGTAGTCAGGTACTCAGGTCATCAACCAATGCTTTCCCAGCCACACTAGCTGGAAGCTGGATAGGAAGTGGATCAGCCTAACTCCAGCTGGCACGCTTGTCTAAGATGCTAGTGTCTCAAGCGGTGGATTAATCTGCTGGGCCACAATGCTGGTACCTCTCTGCCCCCCAAGATTATTTTTAAAATCTCTCCTATATTTTTCTCAATGGAGTTCAGAGTTTCGTTTGATGCAATTATATCTTTAATCTGCCCAGAATTTATTCTGTATTCATAAAATGAAAAACACACTAACATCTTTAAATTCTTTTATACAATATATCATTGCTTAAAGCTTTTTTTCAGCTAACAATTTATTTATTTGAAAGTCAGAATTACAGAGGGAGGGACAGAGAGAGAAATTTTCCATTTGCTGTTTCACTCCCCAAATGGCAGCAACAGCCAGAGCTAGCATAGGCCAGGTGGAAGACAGGAGTCAGGAGCTTCCTCCAGGTCTCCCATGTGGGTGCAGGGGCCCAAAGCACTTGGGCCATCTTCCGCTGCTTTCCCAGGTGCATCAGCAGAGAGCTGGATAAGTGAAACAGCTGGGACTCGAACCGGCACCCAAACGGGATGCTGGCACTGCAGATGGTGGTTTAATCCAGTACGCCATAGTGCTGGGTGTTTCTTAAAATTTCTTATTTTCTTAAAATTTCATATCTTTTTCATATTGAATTATCATACTTGCATCTGTATCAGGGATATTTAGGATATGAAAAATATAAAACAGCTTATATCTAACTAGATATCTGAGATGAGGGAGAGTATTAAACTAAACTTGACTATGACTTCAGATTTGGGCCTGTGAACCAAGTTGACTGTGATGTCATATGCTAATTACAAAGGCAAGATAACAGATTCCTAACATGCTTAGCAAGAGATGTCTACTGAACATCAAGCAGAAGCATACAATTGCACTTGGATATAGCTATCAGTTAGGGAGATGGAGATATGCATCTTACATATACTATAAAAATTTCAATGACATAGGCATACAGGTGATATTTTTCCAGGGTAGATATTTAGACTGAGGAAAGAAGATGACCAGTGAAGGAGTGTTGGAAAACAAACATTTCGAAGGTGAGAATAGGAGTCAAGAAAAGGAGTGTGGGAAAGAGCAGTTATGTATGTGAAAAAGATTCAAGTAAAGAAAATCAGGACAGAATGGCATAATGGAGACAAAGGGAAGTCTTCAGATTAAGGAAATAAAAAATAAAAAAATGGGTTTGAGAGCTCTTGTTGACTAGTGATCCTGGAATAACATTTTATTATCTGTGCTCAAGCAATGACCAGGCTGCAAGGGTTGAAAGCCAAAAGGGAAACAGTGAATATAGGTCAAAATTTCCAGAAGCTAGGTAAAGCAGACTTTTATTAAGCAGAAGCTACTGGAGAAGGATAGATTTAAGGGAGGTTTTGTGGTGAAAATGGAAGTCACTTTGTGATTCTTTTAAGCTGAAGAGTCATTGTGCACTGAGTGAGCAGTCAGAAAAGGGGCAACATAGGCTGGTGCCACAGCTCACTTGGCTAATCCTCCACTTGCGGTGCCAGCACCCTGGGTTCTAGTCCCGGTTGGGGTGCCGGATTCTGTCCCGGTTGCTTCTCTTTCAGTCCAGCTCTCTGCTGTGGCCTGGGAAGGCAGTGGAAGATGGCTCAGGTCCTTGGGCCCTGCACCCGCATGGGAGACCAGGAAGAAGCACCTGGCTCCTGGTTTCAGATCCGCGCAGCGTGCCGGCTGTAGCGGCCACTTGGGGGATGAACCAACGGAAGGAAGACCTTTCTTTTGCTCCCTCTCTCTCTCACTAACTCTGCCTGTCAAAAAAAAAAAAAAAAGAAAGAAAGAAAGAAAGAAAGAAAGAAAGAAAGAAAGAAAGAAAGAAAGAAAGAAAGAAAGAAAAGAAAAGAAAAGAAAAGAAAAGAAAAGAAAAGAAAAGAAAAGAAAAGAAAAGAAAAGAAAAGAAAAGAAAAGAAAAGAAAAGGAAAGAAAAGGAAAGAAAAAAGAAAGGGGGCAATGTATGGAGAGAAAGGAATGGGGTTGAAGGCAAGGCAAGAAGAAACCTTGGAGAAAAGGAAGAGGGGTGCAACGGCTGGCATGCTTATAGGTGGCCAGGGGCAGGATGACATTTTTCTAGGTAGGGTTAGAAATTGACAGCATTTCAGCACAAGCGAATCCACTTCTGATCAGTAAAAAGTATTGTCATATAAGCTTGAAGCACAATGGGTTGGGGAAGAGCCACAGGGCAGATTGGTGAAGTTTGAAAGTGGAAACAATAGAACAGTAGCTTAGCAGTTCACAGGATAATCCCAGGAATCCAGGTGAATTCAGACTCTCTGAATACATAGTCTACATCAGTCTCTGAATGTCTACTGATATTTATCTACATCACTGCGTGAGCTTTATTGGTGATTAGCAGACTGGCTGCAGATGCAGACATGGCTCAACTGCTTCACTGACAATTTTTTCAGGTACTCAGGGGATAAGTAAGTTACTGACAAGAAAATAACTGGTCACCAAGCCAAGGCTATTTGAGAAAGAAAACAAAGGCAGTAGAACATGAATAGAAGACAAAAAATGGGGAGTCAAGGATGCAGAGTGTTGGATTAGATCAACATACTGGTGTTCATCTGTGGTCTGAGTATGTACAATCTACCAGAAAACTTCTTCTAGCTTCATAAGCTTCTAACTTCATAAGCTTTCAATATTTTCACTTAATGAAAAGATAGAAAATATCATGAGACTCTTGGCATTGGTTAAAACCAATTTCGGTTTTAACAATATATGAATAACCAAAAAAGCCAAAACCAAGAGACAAAATGCTCTTGTGCTCTTTAAAACTATTAAGATAATTCATACTTGGCAATCATTAATTCACTTTGTTTAGTGTGCTCAGAAACAAGTAAATATTGTTCAAGTTTCTGGGGAGCAAAGAGAAAAGAAGTGGATCAAAAGAGTAATTTTCTCCTATGCTCTATCATATTTTAATTCTGCTTAGTCAACATGAGATTCAGTTTTGCAAACAACATATATTTACAACGGAAGATTTCCAGTATTTATTTTGGTTAATTTTAAAAGACTTCATCAAAATAAGACTTGGAAGGATAGGAACCTTTTAATATGAAAATGAAATCACTACAGGTTTCTTTATAATACAATTATCATTGTTTCCATAAACAATACAGATTAATATTCCCTTTGAATGGCACATATTACATTTAAAAACTTATCTTTCCCAACATAAGCTTTTATAAATAATTTACTCTTACCTGTCGTAAAGTACGTGCAACTATGCTTTCTAATACTGGTCCTCTATCTTCATGAAGCAGATGGACTTCATCGAGAATAAGCAGCTTGACAATTTGGGAAAGGGCGACATCCCCAACACTCTTTCTCGTCACTACATCCCATTTTTCTGGTGTGGTCACAAGCATCTGTAAGACAAAAAAATGTAATCAAATCAAAAAGAGAAAAAAGCCACAATTATTTAAATTTCAACTTATGCCATTCAAGAAGAAATATTTTCGGCCACTCCTATACAAATTAAGAAAGAAGTGCTTAAAATATCCCAGACGTCTTATTCACTGTAGACAAGTCATTTCAGGATTGTACTTTGGCCTGTGATACAAAGCAGTTACTCAAAGCTCACTGAAGGTGGTTTGTCAGTGAACTGTAATATGAAGTGTATAAAAACTTACACAAAACATTTTTAAAATGTCTTACAATATATATAAAAAACCCCAGCTGTATCTTTTGGTTTATACTGATAAGGGATTAGGAAGTGATAAATGTTAAAAGGAAAAGAAAAACAACAAATCACTCTAAGATGCTGATCAGCATCAAATCTATCCTAAGTTGTAGGAAACTCTATTACTGATACACAGTTTCCAAACGCTGGCCTTTGGAACACATGACTGGCACAGCAGTTATGCGACTGCATGGCACAACCCATATCCTAAATCAAAGTGCTCATGTTTGAGTATCAGCTCTGTTTCCAATTTCTGGTTCCTGCTAGTGCATACCAGGAGAGCAGTAGGTACTTGTGTCCCTGATACCAATGCAGGCGACTTGCATTGAATTCTGAGCTGCTGGCTTTGGCCTTGCCCAGCTCTACCTGTTGGGAACATTTGGTGAGTAAACCAGCAGATGGAAAATCTCTCTCTCTCTCTCTCTCATTTGCTTTCTCAGATTTTCTATTTTGCAAATAAAAATAAGTGAAAGTTTTAAATAAAAATTTCTCTTTAATACCAACTTGTATACAAAGTACTTTATGCAAGAAAAGAATATATTTGGTAAGGCATAGCTGGCACATACTAGCAACCCAAACAGTGAATCACTGGAGAGCAATCAGGGCATTTAGAGCAGGAAACAGGCCCAGAGTATTTATCTGAACTATACAGAAGCAGACCATCTGGAATGATGCTGTGATTATAAATCATTACTTTTACATACTGAATTGTTTGGAGTCTCTCAAAGTATACTGTGGAAGAAAAAGGTGAGAAGATTAATAACATACTCTACTGTAGTAACGTCATATAAGGCAGTAAGCCCATACCTGGATAGTTCAAAGTATACACCAGGAAACAGATCAAAAGCAAAATTTCATTTAGCCAGGATATCAGAGTATGGAGACAGATGACAATCAATACTTCAAATGTGCTTGAGAGGGGCTACCTGAGCTGGGGTTCAATTATTCTCTCAACATTGTAATGTTATTTTACCTTTGTTTTAAAGTCACTTAAGGGGACGACTGCAAATGATGAGGAAATTTTTTTTTATTTGACAGATAGAGTTAGAGAGAGAGAGAGAGAGAGAGAGAGAGAGAAAGGTCTCCCTTCCGTTGGTTCACCCCCCAAATGGCCGCCACGGCCAGTGCTGCACCAATCCGAAGCCAGGAGCCAGGTGCCTCTTCCTGGTCTCCCATGCAGGTGCAGGAGCCCAAGCACCTGGGCCATCCTCCACTGCCCTCCAGGGCCACAGCAGAGAGCTGGATTGGAAGAGGAGCAATCGGTATTAGAACCCAGCACCCATATGGAATGCCGGTGCCGCAGGCGGAGGATTAACCAAGTAAGCTATGGCACCGGCCCCATGAGGAAATTCTTACTAGAAGCAAAATCCACATTTATCAGTATGACCTGCTGCATTTTCAGAGATACCAGTGCTATCATTTTGAAACAGACTCTGTCAACCACCAACTTTAGCATTTGTACATCTATAGAACACAAATTAACAGACTAATGAAACAGATGATGCAATGCATAGCTAAGGTGTGAGAGACTACAGACACAAGCTGTTTAGCTGGTTTGCTGAAGCTAAAATGGCAAAGATATGTTGCTGGAATTAAGCATAAACATGTATAATGAAGTCTGAGTTCTAAAATGGGATGAAACATTCACTGTGCATTAATTAACATCTTTTACAATCTTACAATAAATTTAAATTGAACTTCTACTTTGAATAATGACATTTAAAGTAACCCAAGATATATTAGCATAAATACGAGGGTACTTCAAGAAGCTCATGAAATTAAAAGATATGTACATTTTTCCAAAACTTTCTACAGTACCCACATATATGGATATTGCTTACGAACAGTGCTTTTCACTAAAAAGTCCTTGAAAAATAAATACATGCATTTAAAAAAGCAAACAGACAGCAACTCTCTTAAAATGTAATTGGCATTTTAACATATAACATAAAGAAATTACCTTACTAGTAATAAATATTTGGACAGCTACAAATTCTGCTCTTTAAATAATAAGAACAAAGCTTGGCTACCTGCCTCACCCTGAACTTGTAATACTATGCCAGTACCGTCTTAAAATGAACTTTCAGAGGTAATAATGTGGTGACAATTAAAATGTAAAATCAAATTTTCAAACAGCAGAAAGATATATCACCAAATCTTAAAAATACTCTCTAGCATTTTGCTTCTTATACTCTATGTAAGAAATGGCTACATTTATATCACCATCTCACCATTCAGTTCCTGAACTGAAATGGCTAGAAAATAAAGTGTCACATTTGCTTAATGAATTGGAACTCATGCAAGACATTTCCATCTGCTCGGGTATTAGGGCATGGGTTAACTGTCAATATTTTTACTGTCAACTTAAATTTCTCACAGTACATGTGCTTACTCCCTAGGCAGTATAAAAATCATTATTCAAAATGGTTCCACTTTTAGCCTGTCCATTGGGAAAAATGCATAGTTGAGGTGCTTACACATCACCATTATGTCAAAAAGTTGGTGCATTCAATTTTAAAACACTCATCAATTTGACAGGAAAACCAAAGGATCTAAGACTTTCCAGAACCATCTCATCTGGTAATTCACTTACACATTATTATGAAAAACCTTCCTTATGTTTGTATGTAATAAAATCACAATATTTACTTTTTCATCATTGTTTCATTACTACTCAATTACTGTCTTCTCTGTTCAAAATATATTCCTTCTTGAAGAAGGTTAGAGAGGAGAAAACACAGTAAAATTTTCAATCTAAAATTTTTATAATTGTTTGCTAACCCACACAGTAAACCCCTTATCAAAATACACCAGAGATGGTGCTTCACTGAATGAAGAATATCATGCCTGATTCCAAGTATTTGCACTTGTTCCAAACAGAATTGTTCGAATTTTGATCTACAAATTACCAAAGATATCACAAAGCCACATGTCAAAAAATGCTCAAGAGAGGAATGAGTTTGAGTGTGCATTTTACATGTTGTTCTTTTCATCCATATTTTAAAAGACAGAACTAATCTATTGCTCCTTGAGGATGAGAAATGTAAAGATTCAAGAGGCAGAAAAGAACTGTTACTGTCAACCAGGCAGCAATTACAGGCAGATAATCAGCTCCAATGTTAGACCCCAGAGCTACAATCTAACCAACTAAATTAATGGACCTTCTAAAGGGTTGTCATGGAAAAATTACATTGTTCTTGAATATGTATTAATTCATATTTTTTACCCTGCAAACAGTTACTGGAGAGGCAAAGATGAAAAAGTGATTAATGTTTCTAGAAAGGCTTCATAAAGAACTGAGCTAGAATGAGGATAAGGAAATAAAAACAGTCCTTTGGAAGAGCAGGGACAAACAGAAAGGGGGCAGTAAAGATCATCTGGAAGGGACAGAATTTTGCTGTACCTTGTTAGGGGTATGGCTTATGCATTTGTCAAAACTCACAGAACCAGAGGTTCACACTGTGGTGCTGTAGGTCAAGCTGCCTACAACTTCCACAACCACATACAAGGGCTGATTCGAGTCCCAGCTGCTCCATTCCTGATCCAGCTCCCTGCTAATACACCTGACAGAGCAGCAGAAGATGGCACAAGTGCTTGGGCCCCTGCACCCATGTGGGAGACCCAGAAGAAGCTCCTGGCTCCTAACTTCAGCCTGGCCCAGCCCTAACTGTTGAGGCCATTTGGGAAGTTAAAGATCTCTTTCTCTCTGTCTCTCCTTCTCTGTGCAACTCTGCCTTTCCAACCGAATCAATACATCTTTAAAATTTAAAAATAGAGAGAGAGAACTTACACAGAGATGAAAAGGCCCTAAGAGATAAAATGACTGAAATACATTGAGTTATTTTTCAAAAGGAGGCAAATGGAGCAATAAAGACTAATGACACAAGATGACACTCAGAAAATATTATGGGGGCCAGTTCTATGGCATAGAAGCCTCTGCCTGCAGAGCCAGCATCCTATATGGGTGCTGGTTTGAGTCCCAGCTGCTCCACTTACAATCCAGCTCCATGCTAATATGTTTGGGAAAGAAGCAGAAGGTGGCCCAAGTTCTCAGGTCTCTGCAACCACATGGCAGACCTGGAAGAAGCTCCTGGCTTCAGCCTGCCCCAGCGCTGGCTGTTGTAGCCATTTGGGGACCAACGGATAGAAAATCTCTCTCTCTGTGTCTCCTTCTCTATATCTGCTTTTCAAATAAATAAATAAATCTTTAAAAAAAGGAGAAAATATTGTTAAAATTATCTAGTGAATGAATGGTATTTTGGTTAGTTTTTCAAAGAGGTTCTTATATTTTAGAGAGACATTTCTACTTAGAAATTTTTGGAAAAACCACAAAACTGAAAAAGATTAGAAAATAACATTTTTGTTTAAAGTGGAAGAAAACATTAAGATTGTTATGCTAATATACAGTAATCAGAACCAAATGCCAATGTTTAAGAACAGCAAAATTTAAACAAGAGTGTCAATTTGTTAAGTCAACAACAGGAGTCACTGTGCACTTACTCCTCATGTAGGATCTTTGTCCTTAGTGTGCTGTACATTGAGATTTAATGCTATAACTAGTACTCAAACAGTATTTTTCACTTTATGTTTCTGTGTGGGAGCAAACTGTTGAAATCTTTACTTAATGTATGCTAAACTGATCTTCTGTATTTAAAGAGAATCGAAAATGAATCATGATGTGAATGG